GGACTTCTTCCCTGCGTGTCCCGGGGCACGGGAGTCCATTCAAATGAATGGGCTCTCGTGCCCACGCAAAACTCGGCCCGCACGGCCGCATATATGTGAACCAGGCGTGACCCATTGGTGTCTCTGAAAGTTTTCATGTATCCAGGTCATGCTATATGTAGTAGTTGTTAGTCACATTCACCTGGACTTGTTCCAGAATGTTGAGGACATTTCACCACTCATCCAAGAAACTTTTCACTAGAGCAGCCTTTCTCAACCTTTTAACCCTGGGCCCTTCAGGTTTCTGGGAACCAGTGCTAAAAATTAGATCTACAGCTTATGGTAAATAGAGAGGATCAATATAAGTGGAAAGTTTTAAATAAAAAAAAAAAAAAAAAATACATTGGAGCATGCATGTATTTTTTAAATGTAGCAAAAGCAGCCATTTGGGCATGCTGCAGGGCAAGGAACAGGCTGACTGGGGTAGAGAGCAGAGTGACAGTGTGTTGAATTCATCAGTGTGCTACATTTCTTTTCTATATCCATTTCTGGGGGTTGGAAGGAAACCTATAGGTAAATAGTGAAGCTGCAGCACAGAATGATGATCAGGTCCATGCGCCCCAACATGGCTGTTACTGCGTAAAAAGAGAAACAGCACCAAAATCCAATGTTATTACTGATCTGACTACCACTGTTGGTAAAATCTAGTAATACAGAGCAATGTGTAAATGCAGTAATTGCTTATGGAACCTCTGTATTCTTCTGGTTCAGCTTATTTCAGCAAGCACTTTGAATATCAGTACAGGGTCCTAAAGTTCATGTCCATGTAAAGGCAGGTGTCCCAATTATTTTGGCAATATAGTGTATGACCACTTCCAGGAGCTCCAGGTGACCCCACATGGATGTAGACTCACCACAATGGATGGACCTTCTACTACTAGATAGGTTTAACTGCACTTTTTATGGTTGGTGTCTTGTCACCAACTCAGCCATTTACATGTACCAGGATGTGATTCTTTCCAATGCAATACACCGCCACTCAAAAAACAGTATCAGGGAAAAGGTTAATTGTGCAAAGCAGCCGACTTTATTAAACCATATAAAACCTTACAATTACACTACACTCACATGTATATGTGCCTAAGGACTGGCACCAGGAACATACAGCACTTTTGGTTAAGATGGCCATTGCCACCCTGTGAACAGAAGCAATAGCAATCACATAGGATTGCTATTGACAGGAGTTTTTGCACTGAAGTCAATGGGACACTATTTTACATTGAAGTTAATGGGATGAGATTTTGCACTGAAGACAATGGGACAAGATTTTGCATTAAAGTCAATTGGAGGCAGTTGTGGAGAGAGAGCTGGCAAAAATCGCACCTATACTGAAATTGCACAGAAACTGGAATGGTATTCATAAAGAAGCATTGTGATTTCAGCACACATATGTGGTAAAGAGGGTGCTTGCCAGCAGCAGGGAAAAATGTAAAAAAAAAAAAAAAAAAAAAAAACCTCACCTGCTCAGTGCCTACAACTGCATCCCTGGACATTAGTTGTATTTTCCGGTGTGTATTCCCTCTCTGCCACCTCAGGTTCAATATCCCGTATAGGCACTATCGCTGGGGTCTGGGCTGCCGAATGTGGCGCTTCAGGGTCCTCTGAGACTGATTGGGTTGATCCTTGCTGTCCCTTATGGTCCCCCTAGGAACACTTCGACAATGACCCCCTGAAGTGTATTACTCTGAAATGTCCCTTTCACTATCTCTTGGTAAAACTTAAGTGACCTGGGGCTGTTGTCAATGTCACTCACCTCCCCTGAAGGCTCACCTGATCCAGATGCACCAGTGCTAGGCACTGGCAACACCACTGCTATGGGCTTCTCTGCAGATCTCCACAGAGCCTGCACTGGCTTCATATTCTGATCCCCGCAGTTGGCTTCTGACAGTTCCCACATACTGTGAACAGGTGCTCCATTCCCTGGATGGTGTGCAGAGGGATGCAGCCCCGGAGCACCAGCCTCGCACCCAGATTAGTGAGGAACTTCTGCTCTTTGGCCACCCAGCTGAGTCCCTCTACTACAACTCCAGGTACCAGAAGGGATATGCTCTGATACCTTAGCAATCAGTCCGCCATATTGGCACTCCTCGCCACATGCAGGGTATACTTTTCCCCTGGAACATACACCATAACTCCACCCCTCTCCCTGGAGCTTATGAGCACAAATTTTCCTGCTCCACCCCTTAACTCTTTCTCAGCCACTCAAACATGCATATACGACTGGCAGCCACTTCCACTGTCAAGCAGACACTTTTCTCTGTAGCATATGACTGCAGTAACTTTCGCTTGCACATACACTCACCGGCTACTTTATTAGGCACACCTCTTCAATTGCTCGGTAGCACAAATTGCTAATCAGCCAATTGCATGACAGCAATTCAATGCATTTAGGCGTAGACGTGGTGAAGACGACTTGAAGTTCAAACAGAGCAACAGATTGGGGAAGAAAGGGGATTTAAGTGACTTTGAAAGTGGCATGGTTGTTGGTGCCAGACGGGCTGGTCTGAGTATTTTAAAAACTGCTGATCGACTGGGATCTTCACACACAGCCATCTGTATCGTTTGCAGAGAATATTCCAAAAAAGAAGAAATATCCAGTGAAGGGCAGTTGTGTGGATGAAAATGCCTTGTTGATGACATAGGAGAATAGGCAGACTGGTTTGAGATGATAGAAAGGCAACAGTACCTTAAAAAACCACTTGTTCCAACCATGGTATGTGGAATAGCATCTGTTGTATCAACGGTTCAGGCTGGTGGTGTGGAGGTTATTTTCTTGGCACTAGCAAGGTGTACCTAATAAAGTGACCAATGAGTGCATATGCACTGAACAGTCCTGGCTTGCTTTCTTGTTGGTTGCTGGTAGCAACAGCCGCATACAGCCACAGGGTAATCAAGGACCGAGCCCCTACATGTAGCACTCAGCCCCCAAAACGGCCTGCTAAATGGTCCTAAGGCTTTTTCCCCAGGCTAGGGTATTTGCAGCCAGGCACACAGTCCCAGTCACCCTTCTGGCTCAGAAACACAGTCCCAGTCACCCTTCTGGCTCAGAAACACAGTCCCAGTCACCCTTCTGGCTCAGAAACACAGTCCCAGTCACCCTTCTGGCTCAGTAACACAGTCCCAGTCACCCTTCTGGCTCAGTAACACAGTCCCAGTCACTCTTCTGGCTCAGTAAACAGTCTAGGGGTATCCTTTATTAAACTGAAATGGGTGCAGAGGAAGCGTGGGATACTCCAGTAGGGGGTAAGAAGTAAATGATAGCCTGAGCCACCCAGGCACACCATAAGAAGTGTTCATCTGTTATCACAGGCTGACATGGATGCAACATCCCTCACTTTGCTGGGGTGATTTCCTCTCACTTCCTGCTTCGGCTAGAAGACAAGAAATGCAGGGAAATCTCCCCAAAGGGCCACAGATGGAAAATAAAAACCCTGAAGAACTAAACCCTCCCTTACTCTATCCAAAATAAATAAAGGTTTGCCTTTACTTCTACTTTAACCACCTCCTGTCCAGCCCATGTACATAAACGGCTGGATGGGAGCAGTGCAGGAGCGGGTGGCTGTTAACAAATGTCCTTCCCGCTCCCTGCTTGTGTGCGCTCCCTGGGAGCGCGCAGCACCACGGTCCGGTGCCTGCTGTGTCCGGGTGATCGTTGTACGGGACCTCTGTGCGAGGTCCCAATCATGTGATCACTGATTGGCCAATCAGTGATCACATGAATAGTAGTAAGCAAGATGTCACTTCTGACATCATTGCTTACTAGGTGTGAAATCTGTGAATGATGACAGAGATCACATGGTACAAGGCTATTCACAACATCCCTGTGCCATGTGACAAGCTGTGACCAATCACAGATCACACAGTATTTATCAATTGCTGCAGGAATGCACCCAGGGTGTAAAAGCAATTAGTGTAAAAAAAAAATCTTCATCACCCCCCACAAGTATGGTGACACTGAACTGCTAGGGTGACAGTATGTAACAAAAACATATAATAATATAAAAAATAAAAATGTAACAAAATGTTTTTAAAAACTATAATTTTTGGTTATAAACTATTTTTTTTTATTTTACTAAAAAGATAATGGAATAAATTGTATCCAAGATTTATGAAGAAAGATTAATTGCAAACATTTATAAGAAAAACACTTTTTGGCAAAATGTTTGGACTTATTCACTTATATAGCAAAAAAAATAAAAATCCCAGGGGTGAATAAATATCACCAAAATAAAGTTTTATCTGTCTCAAAAAAATGCTAAGAAAATCATATAGCACAGTGGCTAAATGGTTAGCACTTCTGCCTGGCAACACTAGGGTTGTTGGTTCAAATCCACACCATCTGCCTGGAGTTTGCATGTTCTCCCTGTGTGTGTGGGTTTCCTCCGGGTACTCCAGTTTCCTCCCAAACTCCAAAGACATTCTGTTAGGTTAATTGGATCCTGTCTAAATTGGCCCTACTATGTGTGAATGTAAGTTAGGGACCTTAGATTGTACACCCCTTGAGGGTTAGGGACTGATGTGAATGTACAATATATATGTAAAGTACTGTGTAAATTGACAGCGCTATATAAGTACCTGAAATAAATAAAATACGGGTACAGTGTTGCACGACTGCGCAACTGTCAAAGTGTGATAGCACTGAAAGCTGAAAATTGTCCTGGACTGGAAGGGGGTGAATGTGTCCAGAAAACACACTGAATAGAATATTTGTACAGCAGAATATATTGTCACTTTAACCATGGCAGCACTAAGATCACATCATGGCCCCTGAATTACTACATATACAGGAGGGCAATCACTGCAAACACCCCGTCATGGTCAGTCATGTAGCAGCACAGCCCCCTCCATACACTCAGTACAGCTCTCATGGGTGCAGAAGGCGCCTCAGCAAGGCGGGTCACGTGTCACACCTTAGCTCTACATGCCCCGGGTGGGTCACGTGTCTCCCGCTCTCTCCTTACCTCCCGGCTCTGGGATCAACAGAGGAGCGCTGAACATGACAAGCTCTGCCCGGTTCTTCAGATTCTTCCTCAGGGATCCCGTCCTCTCCCAGAACAAGCGCTCATTCTGCCAGTAGCCGTGCAGCGCCAAGAGTCTCAGAAGCGGTTTACCAGCCTTGCAGTCTGCTGTGGAAGCCGCCATCTTGCTACACCCGGAACTCAGAAGTCACTTCTGATTGGATGTCGATGACGGAAAAAACTTGTAGCTGACTGAGACTTAACAAGTGCTGTAAATGTCAGATTACGTATATAGGGTGGGACATGGAATAGAACTTCCACATGTTCATTCACCCTCATGACTCCAATCATTTACACAGCATGCTCTTGTTTTCATTAGTCCAAAAAATATCTTCATGATTATAGTGAGACATTCAATTTTAATTCTTCAGTCGGGGAACTCGAGGTAAGCAGAGGGGGCACTGCGTAGGGGAGAGGCGTACGGAGGGGGGGTGGTGTGTAGGGGAGAGGGGTACAGACGGGGTGGTGCGTAGGGGAGAGGGGTACGGGGGGGGTGCGACGGGGCGGTGCGTAGGGGAGAGGGGTACAGAGGGCGCGACGGGGGCGATGCGTAGGGGAGAGGCGTTCTTAGGGTGCATGGGGGCGGTGCGTAGGGGAGAGTCGTACGGAGGGCGTGCCGGGGCAGTGCGTAGGGGAGAGGCGTACGGAGGGCGCGACGGGGCGGTGCGTAGGGGAGAGGCGTACGGAGGGCGCGACGGGGGGCGGTGCGTAGGGGAGAGGCGTACATAGGGTGCGACGGGGGCGGTGCGTAGGGGAGAGGGGTACGGAGGGCGCGACGGGGGCGGTGCGTAGGGGAGAGGCGTACGTAGGGTACATGGGGGCGGTGCGTAGGGGAGAGTCGTACGGAGGGCGTGTCGGGGCGGTGCGTAGGGGAGAGGCGTATGGAGGGCGCGACGGGGCGGTGCGTAGGGGAGAGGCGTGCGAGGGGGGCGGTGCGTAGGATGGAGGCGTACGGAGGGCGCGACGGGGCGGTGCGTAGGGTAGAGGGGTACGGAGGGTGCGACGGGCGCGGTGCGTAGGGGAGAGGAGTGCGACGGGGCCGGTGCGTAGGGGAGAGGGGTACGGAGGCGGAAGTGCGTAGGAGAGAGGGGTACAGAGGGTGCGATGGGGGCGGTGCATAGGGGAGAGTTGTACGGAGGGTGCGATGGGGGCGGTGCGTAGGGGAGAATTGTACGGAGGGTGCGACGGGGGCGGTGTGTAGGGGAGAGGCGTACGGAGGGTGCAACGGGAGCAGTGCGTAGGGGAGAGGTGTATATAAAGTGTGACACGGCAGTGCGTAGGGGGTATGTGTACAGAAGCTTTGATGGGGGCGGTATGTAGGGACCAGGTGTACAGAGGGGGCAGTATATAGGGGAGAGTTGTATAGAGGGTGCGACGGGGGCAGTACGTAGGGGAGAGGTGTGCAGAGGATGTGACGGGGCGGTGCTTAGGGGAGAGGTGTAAAGAGGAGTGCAGCATGGGTGGTACATGTATGGAAGAGGTGTATGAAGGGTGCAACGCGGGCAGAACGTAGGGGAGAGGAGTAAAAGGGGCGTGATGGGAGCGGTATGTAGGGGAGAGGTGTATAGAGGGAGTGATGGGGGCGGTACTTAGGGGAGATGTGTAGAGAAGGTGCAACAGGGGCTGTACTTAGGGGAGATGTGTACAGAAGGTGCGTCGGGGGCTGTAGTTAGGGGAGATGTGTACAGAAGGTGCGGCTGGGGCTGTGTTAGGGGAGAGGTGTACAGAAGGTGCGGCGGGGGCTGTGTGTAGGGGAGATGTGTACAGAAGGTGCGACGGGGGCTGTAGTTAGGGGAGAATTGTACACGGTGCGATTGGGGCAGTACGTAGTGCAGAGGTGTACGGAAGCTTCAACGGGAGCGGTACATAGGGGAGAGGCATGGGGGGGGGGGGTGGTATGTAGTGAGGTGTACGGAGGGCACAATGGGGGCAGTGCATAGGGGAAAGTTGTACAGAGGAGCGCAGCAGGGGCGGTGCGTAGGGGAGAGGTGTACAGAGGAGCGCAGCGTGGGCAGTACGTATGGGAGAGGTGTATGAAGGGCGCAATGGGGGCAGAATGTAGGGGAGAGGAGTAAAGAGGGCGGTACGTAGGCGAGAGGTGTATGCAGGGAGCAATGGGGGCTGTACTTAGGGGAGATGTGTACAGAAGGTGTGACGGTGACTGTACGTAGGGGAGAGATGAACAGAACTTGCAACGGGGGCGGTATGTAGGGGCCAGGTGTAGAGAGGGTGCAACGGGGGCGGTACATAGGGGAGAGTTGTACACAGGGTGTGACTGGGGCGGTACGTAGGGCAGAGGTGCATGGAAGCTCCGACGGGAGCGGTACGTAGGGAAAGGTGTACGGAGGGTGCGACGGGGGCGGTATGTATGGGAGAGGGGTACGAAGGACGCGATGGGAGCGCTATGTACGGGAGAGGTGTACAAAGGGCGCAACGGGGGCGCTATGTATGGGAGAGGTGTATGGAGGAGCGTGGTGGGGGGTGGTACATAGGGGAGAGGTGTACGGAGGGTGCGGCAGGGGTGGTATGTAGTGGAGAGGTGTACGGAGGGCACAACGGGAGCAATTCATAGGAGCGGTGCGTAGGGGAGAGATGTATGGAGGATCGCAGCAGGGGCAGTACGAAGGAGAGGGGTGTATGAAGGGTGCGACGGGCAGAACGTAGGGGAGAGGTGTACGGAGGGCACGACGGGGGTGTTACGTAGGGTATGGCGGGGGCAGGACATAGGGGAGAGGTATATGGAGGGGGCAATGGAGACTGTATGGTGTATGGAGGGCGCGACGGCGGGCACTACGTCTGTGAGAGGTGTACAGAGGGCGCTATGTATGGAAGAGGTGTATGGAGGGCGCGATGGGGGTGGTATGTAGGGGAGAGTGTACAGGGGGCGCTACATATGGAAGTGGTGTACACAGGGGCGGTGTGTAGGGGCGATGAGGGCACTACGGTGTATGGAGGGCGCAACGGAGGCGCTACGTACTGGAGAGGTATACAGAGAGCGGTACGTATGGAAGTGGTGCACGGAGGGCAAGACAGGGACGCTATGTATGGAACAGGTGTTCGGAGGGCGCAATGGGGGCGGTATATAGGGGAGAGGTTTACGGAGGGCGCAACGGGGCGGTACATAGGTGAGAGGTATACAGAGAGGGTAATATATGGGAGAGGTGTGGGGGAGGGGTGGTACATACAGGACAGGTGTACAGAGGTCCTTTCTCTTCTTGAAGGGGACCATATCTACAACCCAAGTGGAAATGGTAAAGTGCGGGTAACCCACACAAAAAACACAGACACACTGTGCTGTACCCACACAGCATCGGATCAGTGTGAGAGCAGCACAAACTTTATAGTATGAGGGCTTACTTGAACCAGCCTCTTAGATTTTATCCAGTTAAACTTCACAGGTGTTTTTTTTTTTTAACCAGGCAAAATCTGTGCATCTGCGCATGAGAGCAGAGTCTCTCCCAGGTCTCTCATTGGCTGAGACACAGCAGTGGAAGCCATTGGCTCCTAATGCTGTCAATCACAGCCAGTGATGGAGCAGGGGGACTGAGCCACACTCAGACTCACAAGTGCCCTCTGGGGGCACTTGACAAGGGGGAAAGGGCCAGATATACCTATGGGGAACCCGTGGAGGATTAGGGTTGCTCTGTGCAAAACCATTGCACAGAGCAGGTAAGTATGATGTGTTTGTTATTTTAAATAAAGATCGAGCCTTTAGAACCACTTTAATTCAGAGAATGCATTAATGTAATATTAAAGGCTCAGTTAAAAAAAAAATAACAAACATGTCTACTTTCCTGTTATGTGCATTAGGTTTGCACAGAGCAGCCCAGATCTTCCTTTCCTCTGGTCCCCTGCTGTGTTTCTGGCCCCTCACCCCTGCCGAGTGCCCCCAGAGCAATCTGCTTGGTTTGGGGGCACTCATGCATGCTTGCTCCTGAGCTTGCCTTTTATGTCAATAAAACATGCAGAGCACAGACCTACTACCCCCCCCCCCCCCCGCACTGGCTGTGATTGACAGCAGCAGGAGCCAATGGCTCCCACTGCTGGGTCTCAGCCAATGAGAAGAGAGAGACCCAGGGGAGCCACTGCTCCCATGTACATCGCTTAATCAAAATTAGGGCTCAGGTAAGTATGGGGGGGGGGGGGGGTTGGATGGGGGAGCAGCACGCAGAGGATTTTTTTATCTTACTGCATAGAATGCATAAATGTAGAAATTTCTGTTTTTATAGCCACTTTACAAAGATTGAACACAACATTTGAAATGAAATCAACATACTATGGCTCCATGCACACTAGCATTTTTTTTAAGCTCCTAAAAGCTGTTATTAGCATTTTTTTTTTGCTCCTAGAAGCTAAATAGTGTTATCCTATGTGTTCATGCACACTACTTTAGGTTTTTGGCGGTTTTTTGAGCTCAGCATCTAGAAGCAGAAAAAAATTGTTTTTATAGAGTTTCTTGGAGCATTTTTCAAGCAGAAAAAAATGCTAAATTCTCCTAAACACTACTAAAATGCTCCTAACAGTTTTTTTTTTTTTTTTTTTTACATGTACTGTAAAAACGTTAAATATCCTAAAAGAAAAACAAAAGACACTATTGGCATGGAACCTAAAGCTTACATGGGATTTTGGCAATGCATATACGTTAACCACTTCCCGACCGCCCTAAAGCAGAAGTATTGCTATAGGACGGCAGGGATGCGCAAAATCACGTTTATATACATGATTTTGTTTTTCTGGGTAGGAGGGGGCACACACACGGTCTTCTACTGCTGTAGACCATCTGCTTCAAGTTTTGACGTGTTCTGCATTCAGAGATGGTATTCTCATCTGCCTATTTTCATCTTATTTTAACAACGAATGTTTGTCAACACAGCTGCCACTCACTGGATATTTTTCGGACCATTCTCTGTAAACCCGAGAGATGGTTGTGCGTGAAAATCTCAGTAGATTAGCAGTTTTTGAAATTACACAGTTCAGCCCGTCTGGCACCAACAACCATGCCATTTTCAAAGTCATTTAAATCCCCTTTCTTCCCCATTGTGATGCTTGGTTTGAACTTCAGTAAGTCGTCTTCACCATGTTTAGATGCCTAACTGCATTCTGGTGCTGCCATGTGATTGGCGGAATAGCAATTTG